TTTGATCAAAATTTTCTTATTAATTTTAAGATGATGTAAAAATGACGCCTCAGTTATACTCTTTAGATACAACTTTTCAAGACATTTATATTCTGAATATGAATTTAATAAAAACAATATAATTAAAAAAAATAGTGGTTTTAGATGAAACATAATTTTTTAATAAGCCAAATTATTGTTCTACAGATTTACTGTGTTAAAATAATATCCAGTTATTTTAAAAATAAATTTATTGAAAGTTGAAATTTGTACTATTGCAAAAAACAATTTTTTTGCTATATTAGCTATATTTTAGCCAACGAAAAATAAAAAAAAACAAATGAATAACATCCTTTATCTCAATAGTGGAAAACATTTCACTTAGTGTTATTTTGCATTTCGTATGAAAACATTTTTATTACAAAAAATACAAAACTACAGGAAAAAAAGTGGAATATGTATAAAAAATTATCTTTATTGAAAATTAATTTTACCTTCCACAAAAAAATAAAACCTCAGAAAAAACATAAAAAAATTTAATTTCTTATTTTGATATTTGTATTTATTAATAAAATGTTTTAATTAGATTAGTTATCTAACTTATTTTGAATTGTCTTTATCCTTATTTTATTGTTCTATCTGTTTTTTTAATAAAAAACCAGTTTGTAACTGTTTTTAATAATATATTTTATTTGAGACAATATACACACATCGCCAAAATTCTTTGTCAAAATGAGACACTTTTATTAAAAGTCAAGAAGTGTGTTACATAGTACTTTTAATTTGGTTATTTATCCAATACAAATTGGCTGAATTAAATTTTAACTGAACAAGAAAAAAATGCAAACGAAAAATAGTGCATAATAAAATGATTACTAGAATTTGAATTCCAGAAGAAAACCACTATAGAGCGAAATCAAAAATTCATTAATATTCGGTGTGTCCTCCCCTGTTCTGTAGTAAGGTATTAATTCACCTGTGTATGGAAACAATAAAGGTGTTAATGTAATCCATTGGTATGTTGTTCCATTCTTCTTAGGCCACGACTGTGAGTTCCTGGAGAGTGATAGGAGGATTAATTCTGTTTGAGATTGCTCTTCCAACGAAATCCCACATGTACTCAATGGGATTCATATCTGGCGAATTTGCTGACCACGTTAATCTTTGAATATTCTGAATTTCTAGTGCATTTTGTACCTTTCTCGTGCGATGGGGCCTAGCATTGTCATCCATGAAAATCGTGCGATGAGGCCTAGCATTGTCATCCATGAAAATAAAATTGGAGCCAATTTCAATTCGGAGAGGATAAATAATGGGTTCAATAATGTTTCCAACATATCTATCAGCTATCATAGTGTCTGGAATGGAAATAAGCTGCGTACGACTACCATGCATTATGCCTCCCCAAAAAATTACTGTTTCTCCTTGGTATGGAACGACTTCTCTGGCAAAAGATAGTCATTCTGTTCGCCCTGGCCCTCTCCAAACTCTGTGTCGCCGATTATCACTAATTAAACCATATCTGGTTTCGTCCGAAAAAAGAACATTTCGCCACTGAGGTAAAAGCCACTGTAGACGAGCAGCTATATGTCTAGGAAGTAACCTGGGTACTCTTAATGGTCTCCTTGATCGTAAATTGGCACCAGAAAGTCTCCACCGTATTGTGGTACTGAAAATAAATCGATCATACGTTTTTCTAAAATGAGTTTGGATAGCTGAGACTGTTCCGGTTCGATTCCGACGTACATAACCTGCGACATACCGATCTTCTCTTGGATTAGTTATCTTAGGACGCCCAGTACCACGTCTCCAGTCAACGCTGTTAGTTTCCTGGTACAAATGCACTATTCGGATAACTAAAGCGGGGAATCCCTAGTCTATCTACGATTCGATGATTCAGCAGACCCTCATCATGCAAAGCCACTATTCTTGCTCCATTGAACACTGAAATTCTGTTGCCAGGGATAGTTGCAAAGAAAAACTTAAACACGCAAACTCGATATGAACCACTTTTTAAACATTGGTACCTAAAATTGTAGGAAATTGATTTTGTAAAGATTTTTAGATGCGTATCAACGGTGAAATAAATAAAGATTAAATGTATAGAAGAGCAGTCATGATAAATATTTCGTTTTAATATTTACGATGAGGGTCTGAGAATTTTGGCGATGTGTGTATTTATGCCTCTAATATTAATTTAAATCTACGGATTTCTCATTATTCCTACCGTTATTCTACGATGTTTAAAGATATATAGGTTGGCAACGCTGTGCTGAGGCATAATTTACATATGATACTATAAAAAGAAGGTATGATATTACGTAGATTGGTACTACTTCTCTATAACGTATTGTGGTCCAGAGGCGTGGCTTCTACGAATTTGAGGTAGATAACAGCAGATCGAAAACGGGGCTCAAAAATAAACTTTAATCTGCTCATGGCCATATTCCACACCGCAATCGTCATGCGCGAACTTGGACGAAATTTAATCGGCTAAGTATCATTCCTTGTTGTTGTTATTACACTGACTATATTTTTTGCTTGTTCGGTAAAAATTAGTAACAGACACAATATACAAATATCAATAAAAAAAATAATAATTCATCAAAAAACAAGACCTCTAAACACATTTTTTTAGGTTTTAAAAAACGCGCGCTTTTGCGGATAAACATTACTTTATCAAAAAAAAAAATAATAAAATTGCTGCGTTTGAGAATCCACATCGGATGCATTTTTTACATCTCGAGCGTTTTTTTATCCACATCGGACACATCTGTCCCAT